ATATTAGCGGGCCGGCACTCCCGGCCCAGTTTTTCACCTCTAACTGTCAGCATTTTATACTTGCAATTTGTTTTGCAAGGATTAGTGTCGTTAGTCTTTGGAATTTCACAAATTTGTATTTATAAAAATTGAAATCAGATTTAGTAATTTAATTATAAAAGAAGAAAGATAAAATTTCAATTGAATTATAAAAATATATTGGCAGGCCCGGCCCTCCGGGCCGAGTCCAGTTTTTCACCTCTAACTGTCAGCATTTTATATAAATAATTATTTTTTGCAAGTATTTGTGTTAATTACATTCTTGCAATAAAAAAAAATGAAAGTTTGTTTATAAAAAAATAAAAAATAAAAGTTTAATTTCTTTCTTAGGCTTTTTCACCCTTTTACCCCTTATTAATTAATTAATAACTATTTTGCCCCTGATTCGAAACTATTTATCAATCTGCCCCTCTTTAGTCGACTACCTTGCATTTTTAATCGACTAAATGACCAAAACAGACAAAAAATGGCTGCTGGGAGATTTAGTCGACTAAATCTCCCTATTTAGTCGACTAAATCTTCATATTTTACAAAAAAAAAATAAGTCAGTATGATTTTAATCGATTAAGTAGAGAGATTTAGTCGATTAAATCTCCCAACAACCGTTTAGTCGATTAAAAATGCAAGGTAGTCGATTAAAGAGGGGCAGATTGGTAGATAATTTCGAATCAGGGGCAAAATGGTTATTAATTAATTAATAAGGGGGCAAAAGGGTGAAAAGCCTTCTTTCTTATGTTCTAAATTAAATTTTAATTTTTATAGTTCTTAAATTTTAATAATTTTTTTTTACAGAATGACAGACGTCATTTTTTATTTAAATTTAAAATTTAAAACTTTTTATATTAATTCTACATATTCTTTTATATAATTTTTTTCTATTTTAATTTATGATTTTTAATTTTTTTTAATTGATTATACATGTATATTTAAAAATTTTATGTTAAATATTTTTTTAAAAAAAATACATGTATATTATTTTAATTGGTTATACATGTATATTTAAAAATTCAATGTTAGAGTTTTAATTTATTTTTTGTAAAGGATAAATTATGCCATTTTTTATTTTTCCTTTTAAATTTGAAATTTTAAATAATTTTTATCGACTATAAATGTTTTTTTATAATTTTAAATATTTTATTGTTTAATCTATAGTTTTATATTAAATTCAAATTTATTATATATATCTTTTTCCACTGTATAAATATTAAATGTTGAACTCTATTCCCACATATCAAGTTTACATAATTTTTCATTTAATTTATTTCCAAATTTTAAATTTATTTTACAATATAAATAATTTTGTTATTTTACAATTTTTTTAAAGTTTTTGTTTTTTTATTCAGCATTAATAGGTCTAACAATTATCCATGTAAAAAATAGTGGATATACAACAAAAGAAAAGTATAGGTCTTTTTTACTCATAATATACAAAAAAAAAAGTAGTGGGACATTAAATGAGTTGTCTGCCATAATAAATGATTAACTTAATTTTCCATTGATTTTTTATTTTGAACTTTAAAATAAATTATTATTTACATATTTTTTATTTTCAAATCCTTTCCCACCATTCCAATTTGAAATTTAAAATTGAAATCCAAAATTTGAAATTAATTCAGAATTTGAATTTCAAAAGAGTGAGCAATTCCAATATAGAAAACATTTAAAAGAGCTGAGTAATTCAAATATACAAATGAGTGGGACGTTGAATGAGTTGTCTGCTACCATAAATGATTAACTTAATTTTTCATTATTTTTTATTTCGATTTTTAAAAGAAATTATTATTTATTTAATTTTTTATTTCCAAATCCTTTCTCACCATTCAAATTTGAAATTTAAAATTGAAATCCAAAATTTGAAATCAATTCAGAATTCGAATTTCAAAAGAGTGATCAATTCCAATGTAGAAAGCATTTAAAAGAGCTGAGTAATTCGGCTTTTTGACCCTTTTGCCCCTCATTAATTAATTAATAACCAATTTGCCCCTGATCAAGAACTATCCACCAACCTGCCCCTTTTAGTCGACTACCTTGCTGTTTTAGTCGAGCAAATGGTCAATCTTCAGAAAGTGGACTACCGCAAATTTAGTCGACTAAAAAATCATCTTAATCGACTACATTTTTGGGATATTTAGTCGACTAAGTATCGATATTTAGTCGACTAAATATCGACGGATTTGTTTTTTAAAAACCCCCCATTCGGCAGAGGGGGAGTAGGATGACCTAATCGACTAAGGAGGCGGCCCAAACCCCAAATCCGCAGGAGCAGCTGAAGAACGCCCCAAACCCTTCCTTTAGGCGTGTGGATTGCCCCCAAATTTGGTCCAAATCGTGAAATCTGAAGGATAGGTAAGGTTTCTTAACTTGCATTGTGTTTTAGGATTAGGAATTTTTTGTATTTGTTTGTTGTCCGAATTTGTGAACTCTAATCAAAGCGTTTGTTGTAGGTTTTGTAACCCTAATCTACTAAGGTTTATTTTTTTGCATTGTGTGAATTTTTTTGTTTGAAAAGTTTGTATGGGGCAAAAGTTTGCTTTTGGTTTACAGCGCTTATGTTGCAAGTTTTCATTACCATCATGACATGTTTCATATAGTTAAATGCTGACATGTTTCATTGTAGGTACCCTAAACAAATGACGAGCCGCAGAAGACCAAGCGATGAGGGCAATGAGTCACTTGAGAGATGCACCAAGCATAGGCAAGAGCGGCCTTCTTCGTCAAGGCGACAAGACGAAGAGCCTGATACTGTTGACCTCCCGTATGGGTATCTGTTTGAGGACGACCCTGCCGTCCACGCTTCATTCGTACGTGACCATTTGAACCGGCCGTTATGTGCTCCAAAATCTTTGGATACAGCCTTTTTTGATAAGGAGGGATTTGAAATTGTGGGGGTGTTGGAGGCGGCACATCTGAGGGTGTTGGCCGAGACCCTATGTCCGTATTCAGAGCTTATGGTGCGGGCCTTCTACCATAACCTCAGCTACGTACAGGGCGAGCTGAGGTCGAGGGTCTGTGGAATAGAGATCATCATGACGGCACCTGCATGGTTGGAGATACTCGGCTATGATTTTGACTCTTCTCAGACTGTGGTGTATGACGCTGATAGTGGTGTAGTACTTCCAGGATATGTACGAGAGGATGCCGTGCAGGAGCAGAGAAGAGTCCGTGGGGAACACTTGCACTATACGGTGGGGTTGCTTTCTGTGGAGTCCCGTATACTACACTATGTCCTCACCCACGTTCTGTTTCCGCGATCTTTTAATCATTCCAGGGTGTTGGAACATGACATTCCCATTATGTGGGCTATCCGACATGCCCAGATGGTGAACTGGAGGCACTATATCTGTTGGTTTATGTTTAAGGCCAAACATAAGGGTCATCTTCCATACGCCTGTCTGGTACAGAGGATATTGGTTCACTTTGGTGTTCCCATGGAGACTGAGCTGTTGAAGAAGACCACGGGCTATAATTGCAAGTTCGGAAAGCGTCTATTGGAGCAGTGCAAGATTACTAAGAACACGAGATCGGGTGTGTGGGAGTTTAGTGGTATGCCCCAGGTTGAGGTTCCTTATGTTGCCCCAGATGACCATATTGTTGAGCCAGATGTGGAGGAGGAGGAGGAGGAGGAGGAGGAGGAGGATGTGGCTGAGGTTGAGGAGATAGCTGAACCTGAAGGTGGATTTTCACTGCGTGATGTCATGAAGGGCATAAATGCAATGACAAAGAAGATAGGAAAGATGGCGCTGGCACATAAAAAATGGAGAAAGAAAGGGAATGAAAGGTTTAGACACATACAGGGAAGGTTTAAGGGTGTGGAAGACAGGCTTGCTCGTCTGGAGCTTGCAAGAGGTGGTCAGGTAGCTGAGGCAGCAAGGGATGGGGGTCATGTGTCAGATGAGGACGACTCGGAGACGGACACAGACGGGGATGACGAGTAGATTTAGGGTGTACATCATGTTATTGTGTTTTGTTCATGTATTTCCTTTAAGTCGTTGATGTAATGTAACTTTTTTTAATGAATGCAGAATTGTTATGTTTTTTGGATCTATGTTATGTTGTGTAATGAATTTAATTCCATTTCAATATTGTATAACTTATGAATGGAACCTTTTTAGCAATTTGATCATCACGGCACAAAACAATATTGAACAGGTCACATTCGTCCATAACACATCACAGCAAATCAGTACATGTGTTCAAAAAGGCTACATCTTGTATTGTTAACCGTAAACAAACGTTATGACAACATACGACTTGGTTTTAGGAATTTAATGTCCACATGGGTTTTTTGACTCGGAAATTATGCTCCCTAAGTCACACTCCCTTAGTGGATCAGTGTAGAGTGGAAACCTAGGGCAAAAAACATGTGTAATTCGGATTTGGGGTAATTTATAAATTATTTCTTTTATATTTAGTTAACAAAATAAAATTAAGATTAAAAAAAAAAAAAAAAAACGTGTCCGAGCGTGTCCTAGCGTTGACTGCGTGTCCAAAAAAGTTGACTGCGTGTCCAAAAAAGTTGACTGCGTGTCGGAGAGTTGACCGCGTGTCCCCAAATGTTGACCACGTGTCGGACGCGTGTCCGAGCGTGTCCGTGTCGGACACGTGTCCGACACGCAAAATTTTGTTTGATCAGCGTGTCCGTGCTTTAGTGGTGACACATGGCAAAAGATTCCAACGTTGAACTCTCCTTTATATATATAGATATATAGATAATAATATTATTTGTAAGCGATCATAAAATAAAAACAATGAGCCTATGCATAATTTACAATGTGTTCTACACACAAATCTCTCTGATCTTTATGAATCAAAAGACGTGATTAGTGGGATTCATTAACTCGTAATAAATGCTTCAAATCATGCAACCTATTGAGTTTTGGTGGTTAGTGGACAGAATATATAAAATAAAATAATATAAAAAAGAACGAAAAACGAAAAACAAAAAGGGCACGCAGAGAGTGTGGAGAACCAACAGAAACGAGATTGTCGAGCTTGGGTTGCAACCTGCGAGAGAGAGAGAGAGGGAGAGAGAGAGTCGAAGGCTTCAAAGATTGTATCTGATTCTGAGAAGACGAAGGGTTCTCTCTACCTTACCTGTTCCGTTTCATATCCGTAAGTCGCTGTGATTTGTTGGTTTCTCTATGACTCTTTATCTTTCTCGTTCTTGTTTCGATGCGTTTGATCGATCTATCACTTTCCCTATCTTCGCTTCAATTGATTCGCTTTCTCTTCATCTTTCCCCTCCAAATTTTTAACTTCTCTATCAATTTATTTAAACCCTTTCGAAATGGCTTCTAATTTCTCTTTCGCTCGTATTCTTGCACGTTTGGGGACTGATTGAACCTAAAATTTTAATTTTTTATTATTATATTTGGGTAATAGAATTGGCATTCTAGATTTTCGTTGGGTCTTTTCCGTTGAACAATCTCTTTGGATTTGTGAAGCAGATTAGGGATCGCTCTTTCAAAAATGAATTGTTTGGTTCCATATGGCCAATCCAAGTTTTTGGGTCACATTTTCTTCTCTCTAACCTCATCGTTTCCTTTGTGTGGGAATTTAATTGAAGGCTGTTTTTTTTCTCTTCTCTTTTTGTTTCTTTTTGGGTCTTATTAGCTAGCACTTTCTCAATTTCTTGGGGTTAAGAGAAGGGGTGTTCTAGCTTTAATTAGCCATACTCTTAGTAATACATTTTCAAGACGGAGAGCGTGTAGTGTTGTAGATGTGGGGGGGGGGGGGGGGGGGGGCATTTTCTCTCTTTCTCTCTTATTTAAGCAATTAGAATCTCATTTCCTGTTATTAATATTGTTTGGTTAATGCTCTTTCTTCATGATGGTACATTTATATTTTTGGATATTATGTGCTAGCCAAAACAATGAACCATAACTTTTTGGGTGTTGTTTCCATGTGACATTTTTCATTCATGTAATCACGGGTTTGAAAATGCAAAGTAAGGTTGCTTACTATAGACGCACAGAATGGGTCTGGCCCTTCACCAGGCCTGCGCGTAGTGGGAACTTTATAGCACTTGACTGCTCTTTTTTCTACTTTCCTTTTTTCCAAGTGGTTCATTGTTTTGTGTTTTGTATTGTCATGGTAAACCCTTAAATTTAAGTTCTACCATAGGATTGTTTCAGACTAATGAAAAATTATATACAAGTGATTTACTGAAACACTCTTGCATTTTTGTACGAAAGAAGCATTACTTTGTCTTTCATGATATACATTTCATAATTCAAGTAATTCATGCTTCCATTTTACTAACTATTCTCCAAATAGGGGGATATTCCTTCTTTAAAAGTTTTGTTTTAAAATTCTAATCAAAGCAATTGGACTGTGAATGTTTTGCTCACTCTAATACCTTTGCTCCATTTGTGACAAGCCTTGTTCTGTTGCTGGCTTGTGCCTACATGTGAATGTTTATGCCCAAGCCAAGTTGCACATGCTGACATAGTGACATGCAGCATCTCAGTTCATAATGCCTGGTGTATAGTGAGATGGGTTGCATGTGCTGGGCATGACCACATGGGGGAATGGGACTGTGCTTTTTGTTTTTTTATTTTTTTAATTTACACCAGGTCATGGGTTGGCCTATAGTTAGACAGACTGGGTTTTTAATGGATTAGAGATATAGAAACTCATGCCCATGTCTAAAAATAGGGTTATACTTGTTGGCTTGGAGCCCTAGGCTGGTATACACCGCTCCAGTTATCAGGTTGTATAAAGTTTCAATATGCCTTCAGAGCTGAAAACATGAAAAGCCCATTTGCATTTTTCGACTGACAAGGGTAAAAAGCTTTCCAGTTCAATTTTTGTTGAGATGTGGTTTACATCCAGGGATATTTTATGCTTGGTAGAAGTTCAGTGCTGAATCTTCAAGCAAATATGTATGTCTTTTTACCTTTGCTGGCAGAGGTGAAACTACATGTTGGGTACCCCTTTACCCAGAACTTCCAAAAATTTAGAAAACACCCTTATCTTTTATTTATTTTTATAAAATATAATTCGTACTCATCAAGAGTTAGAGTAAAATGCTATTTTAGTACCTAAAAGACACACTAGTAATCAATTTAGTTCCTTCCAAATTAGTTTTATCAATTTGATCTTTCAATGTTCAAATCTCTATATATTAGTTCCTCCATCAAGTTCAGTTCACGCTTCACACATCATTCGCCTTCATTATTTGGGTGGAGGGACTAAAATATTGGAACTTTGAACTTTGGATTAAATTGATTTGGTTGTGGTGTAATTCAAATTACCTGTTTTGCTGGATAGGATTTTATAATTGCTTCTTTACATTGCTTATCTAATGGTTTTCCCAAGGGCTTGTCATGTATTGGATCTTAAGGAATGTGAAGCATCATTTTTTTTTTTGATGTCTTATTAGAGAGAAAAGGGAGGGGTACGGCTACGATGAAGATAAGAAATCCTGCAAAGGAAGAAAGTCTGTACGCAAAATATGGAACATCATTTTGTATTTAAGTATTTATCTCTGAATTTTGTTCTTTGTTTCTTTTCTTTGTTGCATTATTTGTAGTAAGTTACTATTAAGTAATCGGAGCTTGCCAAGCTACACTAGGTCAGCTCTTAAAATGTTAATGTTACTGTATAAAGGGCTTATATTCTGCATTTATGGCCCCAGACTTTATTACCAAAGGACAAAGTTAAAAAATAATGAAACCACTTAGAGGTAATGAATACCTTTTTCATTTTTGGTTTTTGATAATAAAAAATAGAAGCATTTATTATGACTTACAATTTCTAGACTTCTGTTATAATATTTAAAATTCCAGGTACATGATATTTGTTTTATTGCATCCTCCAGAATCTTTCTGCTATATGATGTTGAGCACATTATGCAGAATTTTAGTGCATAGAAGAACTGGTACAGATGGCAGGACTTGTGTCTGGAGAGTTGTCACATCATGGAGCATCTGATGGAAACTCTTGTAAAAGTTCTAAGGACAATCAAGACGATGCATTAGGTCGATGGTATATGTATAGGAAAGAAATAGAGGAAAATTCCCCATCAAGAAAAGATGGAATTGACTTGAAGAAAGAGACATACCTGCGCAAGTCGTACTGCACATTCTTACAGGATTTAGGCATGAGACTTAAAGTGTGAGTTTGCTGATACTGATATTTTTACTAATATTTAATTATTACTTTCCAGATTCACATACTTCTTAGTTCTTACTGTGTGTTTGGGATTGCTCTGAGGGATTGTATGCTTCATCCTGTGCCTATTTTACATTCTCTCTCTCTCTCTCTCTCTGTCACTCTTCCAAACCTTTATATTCTCTCTATAGTTTCTCAACAGGAATTTTTCGTGTGAAACCTTTCCTAAATAATGTGGCTGTTTATCTGAATGATATACCCAACCAATGCAATCTTGTATTGCATGATATAATTATGAAAGCACTATGAGCATATGCATACTTATACTACTTTTGCAATTTGGTTGCCCCTTTTCTGTTTTACTTTCTTCTGAGGTAATTTTATAGTTATATATTTGGAGTCTTTGCAAGATAGACAGCAATCACCTTTTAAATGCACTTGGATTTTGTTGTTATGTTGTAAATATTTGTATGTTGTTGAAATTTGGTTGTAGTTTACATATTGATTGTAACTTTTACCCCCTGCAGGCCTCAGGTAACCATAGCAACAGCCATAATCTTTTGTCATCGGTTCTTTCTTCGACAATCTCATGCAAAGAATGACCGAAGGGTGGGTTGTTGCGCTTTGAAATAGATATATGTAGGCATTTTGCCTCTCCTCACCCGTTTTAATTTAGTGTGATATGTTTGTGCTCTTCAAATTGTGAATAACTGGTATATGGTTAAGTTAACAGACAAAATAAATATCATAATACAACCTAGAAGGTGGTTTATTTTGTGCGGAATTATTTTCAATGCTTGACATGCCTGGTTGGTAAATACTTGATGGATGGTTTTTGTATGTAATATTGACGTATTTTCAACTTCATAAAGCAAATGCTTTTTTTTTTTGTTTTTATTTTTTCCTTTTTATTTTAAGCAAAATAAACTAAGTTATTCTTTCTATTTACTTGCGATATGAATACCAATAAATTATGTTGTATTGTTGTATTTCTGTCTAAAGAAAATCATAATGAAAAACATGGAAGAACAATTTTATATACACAAGCTTTCAGAAATTTGAGTTTATTTGTATGAACTACATTATTAGTTGTATAATATATGCAAAAATTTTCATGATAACTGTTCCTGGAAAGTTTGACTGTAGGTCACATTGAAAATGTTTTGGGTCCATTCAGTCTGGAAAATTGTCTAAGGACTTCTACTTTTTAGAAAATGTTTCTATACTGAGTGCAGGATTTATTGTTCTTTAATAGGGATCTGTAATAAAGGATTTCTTTATCTGTTTTGCACAATATTTCTACTGTAGGTGAGTTTTCTACTTTGTACAAAATCTGCTCTAGTACAGGTCAATATTTCCATTTTAAGTGTAGTGGAAAGATTTGTAATTGTAGGTGAATGAATATTCTAATTTTACAAATTTTGGAGGTTGATGTTTCTGAATGTTGTATCTTTTTTCACAACTTTTTATTTCATTTAACATTTGTATTACTTGAGATTGGATAGTTGTGTGTCTAATATGAGCACACATGGAATATATTTATATTAACAAGTACTGAACCTAATCTATTGTATATAAGATGTGGGACTATTCTATTATATACACAGTACTACTTTAACATATTATTCTAACCTCCCCCTCAAGCTGGTGTGTATATATTGTGAGCTCCTAGCTTGGAGTTGACAAACTGCATCTTTTCTCGAATGAAGTGACAATTGATCTCTATATGCTTGGTTCTCTCATGAAATATAGGATTATATGATATATGTAGCGCAACTTGATTGTCACAAATGAGAGTCATGAGCTGTTTCTGTTCACAAAGATGGAGCTCCCGAATCAACTGCTTTAATCAGATTTGTTCGCAGGTGGCAGCTCCCATTGCACGATACTCGACCTTTGCACTGGATCGGGCGACAACAGTTTGTTTCTTACTCTTCCAAGAAATCATGTTTCCTCCAAAGACGATATAATAACCTGAAGTGTGGCGTCTATCCGAGGGTGATCTTGCCCAATTGGCATCTGAATAACCACAAATTTTTGTATGTCCTTGATCCGAATATAATAAGCCTTTCCTTGGTGCTCTTTTAATGTAGCATAGGATCCTCACAGTAGCATCCCAATGAGAATCACAAGGAGAGTCAAAAAACTGACTAGCCACACTAACAACAAAAGAGATGTCCGACCTAGTCACAGTGAGATAATTGCGTTTTCCAATCAACCTCCAATAACGTCCAGGATCAGGTAATGGCTCCCCTGTCCGGGCAATAATTTGATATTAGGATCCATGGGTGTATCAATTGGTATGCCCTGTCTAGACTGTACCACCTCAATCCCTAAGAAGTAAAGAAGCTTACCAAGATCCTTGTCAGAAATTGACTAAACAAATATTGTTTTAATTGGTCAATCCCAGCTTTATCACTTCCAGTAAGAATGATGTTATCGACATATACTAACAAATAGATGCACTTATCAGGAGATGTGTACCTATGAACACAGAATGATAAACCTCACTACGAATTAAGCCAAAAGCCTGAATGACAGAACTGAAACGGCTAAACCACGCCCGAGGAAACTGTTTGAGACCATATAAGGGCTTACGATGTCTACACACTATCCCAGACCCCCCCTGAGCAACAAAGCCAGGCGGTTGCTCCATGTAAACCTCTTCCTTTTTAATGTCCAGTTGTAGGAGTGGCCAGTGACGAACAGCAGTGAGAGCAAGAAATATGCGGACACCATCTTAGCGACAGGAGAGAACATGTCGCTATAGTCAAGGTGAGTAAAGCCTTTGGCAACTAAGCGTGCTTGAGACGGTCAACATGGCCATTAGGTCCAACCTTGACAGTAAAGATCCACCGACAACCAACAATAGACTTCACGGAGGAGCATGAATAAGATCCCAAGTGCCATTGGAATGAAGAGCGGCCATCTCATCAAGCATCGCTTGGCGCCACTGGGAAAATGCTTCACCTATGGTCTTGAGAATAGACACAAAAAAAAGACTAGAAATAAAGGTGAAATGAGGAATAGAAAGACGGTCATAGCTCTAAAAAGTATAAAGAAGATTAGGGTTATGAGTAGTGCATACACCTTTTTTTTGGGCAATGGGAAGAGCCTCTGGTGAAGGAGCCGGAGGGGAAGAGTCGATAGGAGAAGGCTATGAATCATCCAGGGTCAAGTCCGCACGAGGCACAGAGAGCAGCTAGGTACAAGGGCTTGCCAGGAGGAGCAGGGCGCGATAAGAGCCCACAGGATAAAGTTCCTTTCAAATACTAAAGTATGCGCTTTACAATTTTCCAATGATCTTCCAATGGCGGAGACAAAAATTGACACACTTTGTTGACGCTGAAAGCAATATTTGGCCCTAGTGAGGGTGGCATATTGGAGTGCTCCAACAATGGATCTACACAGGAATGGGTCTGGAACATAATCAACCCTGTACTTGCTATGTTTGTGTCCACTAGGAATAGGTATATAGATGTCTTTGGCTTCAGTTAGACTAGCTTTTGCAAGGAGGTTCTTGATGTATTTTGATTGGACAACAAGATTTTCCCTTTTGGAAGCTGTTTGACTTCTATACCAAGGAAATATTCCAATGCTCCCAATTGCTTCAAAGCAATTTTGGAATGTAATTTCCTAATTAGTTGCTGTATCAGTGTGGGATTAGTGATTGTAATATTGTCCATATAGACTAGGATGTAGGTTGAGTGGACACCGGCCTGAAGGATGAATAGGGAGGGATCACTTTTGCTGGATTGAAATCCAAGTTGCAAAAGAGCGTGACAACTTCTCAAACTAGCTCTAGGAGGTTTTTTTGAGACCATAGAGGTCTTCGTGAAGTTTGCACACTAGATACTTGTCAGCTACTTCAAAGCCGTGTGGTTGAGACATGTAGACTTCCTGAATAAGGTCCATATTCTAGAAGGCATTGTTGACATCTAATTGTTGTAAGGGCCTACCATTAGTTAAACCCAAGGTCAACATAATTTGGATAGTGACGACTTTGACTACAGGAGAAAATGTTTCATTATAGTCAATTTCATGTTTTTGGTGAAAGCCTTTAGTCACTAGCCTTGCATTGTACTTGTTTACCGAGCCATTGGGGTTTTCTTTGATTTTGAAAACCCATTTGCATTCAATTGGCTTATGAGGAGGAGGTAATGGCTCCAAGTTTGACGAGCTGTATATTTTTGCTGCAAAGCCTGAAACCAAAGAGGATCTGGAAAAGCTTGCTTAACACTAATTGGCTCTATCTGGGCTGTAAGAAGGGGCAGTTCCTTTGAATATAGTAGGGATTGAGTGACTAGGTGAGGGAGTGCATACATATTCTGGCCTGAAGAGGATGAAGGGGTAGGAATAAAAGAGGTAGCTGAGGCAGGGTCAATGTGATTGAGGAAGGTGGGGTTTGAGGTTGAGGAGACCAACTTGGTGAGGACTGGCTTTGAGGGGATTGACTATGAGCTCGAGGAGACTGACTTGGCGAGGGTTGTCTTGAATTAGAGTGACTTTCAGAGGAATGACTTGGTGAGGATTGACTGTGTGTGGATTGAGATTGTGGAGGAGAAGAGGGCTGATTTGAGTGACCATGTGAGGAACTTGACTGTTCAGATTCAGAATGATCACTTGAGGAGGAAGCATCTGATGTAGGGTGATCAAAAGGGGAACATGCTGCACAAAATTCATTTGATGTTTTGTTTTTAAATGGGACATTTCATTTTTGAAGTACAATTTTGAGGACTTCAAATCTAGATGGGCCTAAGGGTTGCTATTTACATTTGTCTCAAGATTACTGTTTTCATTTGACTTAGGATCAGAAAAATTACGAGACAAAATACAAGGCCTATGGATAGAATGACTAGTTCAACTAGGTATAACATCATTACATTTATTGTCATTACAAATAATAGAGGACACAACATTAGAAGGTGAAGCCCCAGTAGGTAGCTGAAGTCCATTGAATTTGTACAAGCCATCTGGTTCAAGATAGCCTTGAAGAAGGACCTCATCTAATTAAGTTTTTAGTTATGAAGGGAGCAAGAAGAAGGTTATGTAAATGTAAGGCACTGTGGATTTAAAGGAGAACATAATTGATCGGAGCCAAGAGAAGTAATGTGCAAACCTTGGCCATTACTAGCAAAAATTTTATCTGGTCCAGTGAATTGCAAGCTTTGCATTTTGAGGATCGACAATGACATGATGGGAGGTTCGTGAGTCTGGGTACCAGTCTAAAGCTGCTGGTGGATCAGCAGTGGTAATGAGTTAATGACATAGGTCCGTGAAGTAGATGCTCTTAAAAAAAGTAGAGAGTTGTTTGCTTGACGAAACTAAGGCGGTGTTTGAGTGGATTCTGTCTAGTACCTAGGTGGTGGTGGAGGTTGAATTGTTGCGGTTGTTGCCCCTACTGTTGCCAAACGAAAGGTGGGGTAGGTTGGTTTTAGGTGTTCGGGTATACAGAGATAGGGTAACATTGATTTGGGGCAAAAAGGAGGAGTCAAACATGAGCCAACAAGTTTAGACTTCATGGCCCAATTTCCAACATAGTTGGCATTGAATGAAGGACCTTCCACTGCGTCTTCCATGGTTCCGGTCGCCACACCCACTGCGTCCTCAACTGCGCTCAGGATAAGGGACATTGTTTGAGCTATCATCACTGCCTTGGAATTTGGTTAGAGGAAGATAGCTCTAGTTTTTAGGTTGGACCGCATATCTTTTGCTCATGTGATCCTGGAACAGGTGCAAACAAAGGATTTGTTTTTGTGACTTTCAGCGCAGCACTCTGGACCATATTGACTGAATTAGTCAAGATGCTGTCGCATTGCTTGATGAACCTAGCTTCTTGAGCTAGGAGCTGTCTTTCAAAGTCATCAAGAGTGCTTGGAGTCTCTTGTCCTTGAATATGTCATGCACTGATTGTACTCCTCTGGGAGTCCTTCATGAGCGATTTCGATCTGGCTTGATTCAGTTATTGGATCTCCAATAGCTCCATGTGTGTAATTGATGGGCCTGAAAGTGGTGAGTGTGTTAGTTAGTTTGTTAGGGAAATCTTCTAGAATATTCTTAGAGGAGGAAATAAAAGGAGAGGGAATGTGTGGAGTGGGGTAGGCATGTATTGAGTGATGAGTGGGGAATTTGGGGATCTCTTGGAGCCTAGGGTAGTTGGTTCTAAGGGTGAGTTTATTAGCATATAAGCAACTAAGGCTTTGTATTAGTTTACTAGTTTTACTGTACTGCTGTAGTATTGTCCCTATGGTGTGTCACACACCTGATTATTACTCATTCTGTTAGAGTTTGGCTCTGTTAGAGTTTGTTACAGATTGTTAGGATTGGTTAGTTGCTGAGTCAGCAACACCTGATCTATAAATAGATCTCTCTCTGTATCAGTTCATAATTCAATATACATTTTACATCAGAATCATATCAATACTTCTCTCTCTCTCTCTCCCTTTCTCTTCCGTGTTCATCTCTATTATGGTATCAGAGCCTTCGATCTGAAGGCCTGATCCATATAGAGCCTATTCATGTCTTCCGCTTCGGATTCACCTTCCTCTAATCGAGAATCTTCACATCACGAATCTTCATCTCATCCATCGTCACATGCAAAATCAGCTTCGAAGATGGAGAACAAAGCTCCACAACTGTTCAATCAACAGATAACAGTGAAATTGACGGAAGAAAATTACTTGCTATGGAATCAAATTGTAGATCCAATCATCACGTCACATCAGATGCATCGTTTCTTGGTTAATCCTAAGATACCTCTTCAATTTCTGTCAGAAGATGATCGAATCAGTGATGTCCAGAATCCTGAGTATGTGGAATGGATAACACAAGACTCAATGCTTCTGTCTTGGCTTCTTTCAACCGTTTCAGAATCGATTCTGAACGAGATATTAGGAGTAAAGTTTTCATATGAAGCGTGGGACAAAATACACAAATTGTTCCAAGGAATGATGAAATCAAAAGCAAGGTTGCTGAGATCTGAATTACACGCCATCAAAAAAGGATCAAAGACTGTGAAGGAGTTCCTTTCTCGAATCAAAGGTATTTGCAATTCTCTCAAGTCAATAGGAAGTCCAGTTAGTAATGAAGAGTGTTCAGATATTATACTTGGAGGATTACCAGCTGAATACATGGCGTTTATTGCATCTGTTCATGCGCGCGAAAATGCTTACTCCGTTGAAGATTTGAGTATTCAATTGATGACTCATGAACAAATACTAATGAGACAATCAGAGGCGTTGATTTCAGAATCTGCAGCAGTGAATTTGACTCAGCACAATTCAGAAGCTGGAAAACAGAGTAACAATAGCAATGCTGTGAACAGTGACACTCTGTTTGCCCCTGTTTTACGTAACCAGGAACAGAGTACTGGTTTTCACAACTCCAGTCCTTGAGGTCTTTGTGTGTTTTATTTTTGTTTTAGTATTTGTAAAATGAGGCTATGCCTCTGATGATTTAGTAAATACAGTATTATTTTTCTGGGTTCCACTAGTAAGCAAGCAGTTAATGCAAAAAATGTACTCCTAAATTTCTTTGTCACCTTTCTTGATGTTATGAAGCTCGTATTTGACTTTCATCAGAGTTCAAATGATTGTGGATCTTGTCCTAAGCCTGTTAAGAATGCTTCACACCAAGAATTTTGGTTGGAACTTCTTCTGAGAGCAAATAAAGTAATCATGTGAGCAGCATTTGATCAAATTTCTCCCAGTTTGTATACGCTGGTTTGATTCTTCCACTGACGTGATCTTCGGAGTTGAAACAAATTGGAGTTTGTTGATTGACAAGGAATTGCTGAAGTTGATGCGCTTGGATAGGAGGCTCTACGAGCTGCTTTTGTAGGAGAAAGTTTTTGTTACTCAACTTCACCGAATGCTGTTAGAGAAAATCAGAGGCAATCTTTGTTCACTTGATATGGAAGATGCGGTATCGATGGTGTTTGTGGAAGACATGGCTGAAGAATGGATCAGGGTGTTAGATTTGGAGCTCTGATACCATAAAACAGTGGGAGAGAAAATGAAGAAAAGGGAAAGAAAGAGAGAGAAAAAGGAGAATGAGGGTTTCTTGATTAATTTTTAAGTTACTGTTCTAAATCTCAGAACAGGTATATATATAGCCATAATCAGGCTTGCTGAGCAAGTTTCATTCAATAACCAAGTGTAACTGAATACAACTAATGCCAGGCTGGCATAACAGAACTATTACAAGGTTACACACAAACTATTCTGGGTTCTGCAGTGCAGTAGTACTGCGCTACTAACATAGCTAATTATACACGAGAGACTACTACTCTATTATAGTTATGTTCCAACTTTATATTAAGAAAATGATAGATGTAAAAGTACTATAAACTGAAAGACTACTTGATAAGAATCTCATATTTCACTTGATGAACATCTTTTGCAGACCATTGCAACAGTCTGTATGTTCCTTGCTGGGAAGGTTGAAGAGACTCCTCGTCCACTAAAGGATGTTATTCTTGTTTCTTATGAAATCATTCACAAGAAGGATCCTGCAGCTGCACAGAGGATAAAACAGAAGGTGTTCTATTACTGATGGTGCTTCGACCTATCTCCAGCCATTCTTTCTCACTGTCTATCTTTCTCCAATTCTTGTCTAAAGTGGAGTAGTTTTCTTTTCTATTTGCTGCAAGACTGGGCCTCCGTCTAACTTGTCAGTTTTTAGTCAATACATCATCTATCTAAGTTATAATGCGTGGAAAAACATTGTAGTTGTGGCCTCAATATTGAAATCCTATAAAATCATTATCTGGCTTGTAAATTATGAAAAGTTTTCAAATGATTTTTATTCATGTGCTTAGTTACTACTTAATTAGTACTGGTTGCCTAGAATTTTATCATGTAGCAAACATTCTTCTCTGTACCCCGTTCTATTGGATAGTTTATCTGATTCCATTCATTTTACTCCAACTGCTGTTTATTGGTAAAGTAACTCGTTGGCACCTTCTGGACTTCCATTTTTATTTGCCCCGTGCTTTATATTCTGTTTCTATTTCTTTAACCCTGAATACATTTACATTTGTTTAGTAGTATTCGTAAATGATGCAGGAAGTATATGAGCAGCAGAAAGAATTAATTTTACTTGGAGAGAGGGTTGTACTTGCTACATTAGGTTTTGACCTGAATGTTCAACATCCATATAAGCCCCTTGTCGAGGCCATAAAGAAGTTCAATGTTGCAAAGAATGCCCTTGCACAAGTTGCGTGGAACTTTGTTAATGATGGGTATGATAAAGTTGCCATTTGTTCTAATTTATCTTCGTTGAATTTATTTTAGTAATATATTTGTTCACACAACTGGAAAGTGGCTTTCAGGCTGAGGACTTCGCTCTGCCTGCAATTTAAGCCACATCATATTGCAGCAGGCGCCATTTTTCTTGCTGCCAAGTTCCTGAAAGTGAAGCTTCCATCAGATGGTGAGAAGGTTTGGTGGCAAGAGTTTGATGTCACCCCACGCCAGTTGGAGGGTTGGTGCCGTCCCCTCAATTCGTTTGCATGCTAAGAAAGTTGACCGAATTGGATAGCCTTTTATGTTCCCATGGCTCAATGCATTATGATAATTTCTGCCATTGTCACGTGTCTGGATGGTTTTATTCCCCTTTCCTGATCAAGTTAGGCATTTTCGTTAGAGAACAAACCCAGTTTTATGCTATGGGTAGTTTGCTGTTAAACAATAGGCTGTCCTTTTGTGTCCCACTAGCTGAATGTTTCTGTATATCCTTCTGAATCCTTGTGGTTATTTTCTCTTGCAGAGGTTAGTAATCAAATGTTGGAACTCTACGAGCAGAATAGAATTCCCCTATCACAAGGAAGTGAAGTAGAAGGGAGTGCTGGTGGGGGAACAAGAGCTGCTACAAAGGCTCCTGCTGCAAATGAGGAGCAGGCCTCAAAACAAATATCATCCCATGCAGCCCCCCACCACTTGTCTGCAGAAAATAACGTGGTGCTGCTAAGAGGAACCGAAAACCAAAGCAATGATGGGAGTGCAGAAATGGGAAGCGACATTACTGATCACAAGATGGACTTGGAAATTAGGGAGTCTCAGAACTCAGAACAGTTGCCTCAGAAAGATAACAAGAGAGAAGGGGATAATAGAACTAAATATGGGACTGAACGAATTGTTGCAGGGGACCAAGATAGAACAGTTGGGACTAAGGAAGCTGCAGAAGTAGGAGGGAGGGAGGATTCAGCATTACACAACTCTAGCTGCAATGTTGGTCGAAATTTGGAGCTACGGGAAGGGGCACTTGGTCAGTCACCCAAAGAAGCAATCAAGATGATTGACAAGGACAAAGTGAAGGCTGCATTGGAAAAAAGGAGAAAGGAGCGAGGGGAAATGGCATTAAAGAAAGATGTAATGGATGAGGATGATCTCATTGAGAGGGAGCTAGAAGATGGAGTTGAGTTAGCAGTTGAGGATGAGAAAAATAAGCGCGAGAGAAGACAGAACTGGTCTAAGCCTGATGATGAAGATCATGGTAAGGATCATGAGGAAACTAGAGATGGGAGACAAATTGGCATTAAGGTGCAGTTACAGAAAGACATGGATGTAGACAATGCAGAAGAAGGGGAGATGATAGACGATGCTTCATCCTTGTTGAACAATCGCAAGAGAAAGATGGGGAGCCCTCCAGCTAGGCAACCAGAGATGAAAAAGAGGCTCGATTCTAGTAATCACAATGATCTTGCTGAAGAAGGTAACGGGATGGGTAGAGTTGGTCATGCAGACAGGGAACAAACAAGGGATGAAGAGGAAAATCATTTTTGAGGTGAATATTTTACTGTCCTTTGTTTGGTTATTGTGATTTGGCTAATTGGTTGCCAATGAATTGATGATTCTGGATGCTCTTGTTTGCTTTAGACATTTCTTATTTAAGGAACTGGATGCCTCAATTTTGGTAGTGCCATTAAAAGTTTATGCTTTTTATATTTTTGCTGGTTATGAAAAGCTTATGAAGCTATTTAATACATATAAGGGGAATAATAAGTTTTATATCAAATTTTAATTATTGATTCATGTAAGGAGATAGTTATTCCTTGTCTAAGGAGATAGTTATTACAACAGCACCCGCTAACTACTGTAAACTTAAATGAATTTCTAAAAAGTTTCCATGAAAACAAAATGACTACTACATAATTGAAGAGTTTAAATGGTAAAAGCTTTAGAAAAACTATTTAAGCATGAACCAGTAATTAGTAAATAGGTTAGATAAAATCCCTGTACATAGGATTTAGGGTTTCCAAGAAAAGAAAAATCAAAGTTTAACTTTACTATTACAACTAAAAAGAATCCAAACACTTTAGTCCTTAGATTGGTCTCAAGATATGCCTCATCCAACGTTGTAAGATAACAAAACTTGAAAGATCCTTTGACCAACATAAAAGAAACAAGAACCAAAAATAAGAAACTCAGGGTCTATGAAGAACGTGTTTTTGTTTTTAAAGCTGTTTTGAATATAAATTTTGAGAACTGATTTTGAGAGTAAAAGAATAATAAAACTTGAATGAGTATAGTTTAAAGTTATAAAAAGTTTTAATTATTTACGAAAATGCCATTAATAAAATTTTATAATTACAAGATTGCTGCTGTAAAGTAATTTAAAATTAAAAAAGATATTAAATTTATTTACATAATTGTCATTAATGAATTCTTATATTTATAAGATTGTCACCGCAAAAAGAATTCGTATTCATTATATTAGATAATAAATTTGGACGTGAATCCAGAAAAGAGGATGCAAGTTTGATTGTTTCTCTGTTAATTAGGCAGTAGGGTATTTGTTAGCACTTATCAGGTGTTTATTACAGATTAGTTACACGGTTTGTTATTCATTTTGTAAGTGGATGTGGGATACGCTTAATTATAGCTGAGCCTGAGCGTATAGTAAGTTTAGTAACTTGTTTCCAATAATAAGTTAGTAACTTATTTACTCCATCTAGCACGAAATTTGTTTCAATACTTCTATACTACTATGGACTCGTGTATCACTCACTAAAATTAAAAAAAATGATTTATTTACCTTTATTAAGTCCTACTTATTTCTAATCCCAATACATGAATCATTTTTCATCTTCAACCACAACTTGCGATCCCATAGATCCAACAGTCCAATTTTCAGGGGCCGTCATCAGACGCACAATTGTTACAAAAAAAAGTCAAATGGAGCGAGAGAACAAAGCCACATTAATACTAAAAACTTGAAAATGATATATTGTACAGCAATACTCCAACATTACACAGAAGCAGCAATACTTTCTAAAATATAAGTAAATGCCAAAAAAGAGCATCTCCCTTGTAAACTGCAAAAAGTGAAGTGACAGCATATCACTAGAACAACAATAGAAAACTCCATGCAATCTTTCGCCACAACAATCCAACCATACAATTAAGCTTACCCTTCATATAATGTCAAGTGATATATATATATATTATATTATATATTTACACCATATGTCGCCAATGAGAAATCTATTTTCCAAACCAAATTAACTAAGCGGGCGAAGTACCTCCGCCACAGCCCTTTTCACCATCGCCCCGCCACCACTTCTTCTAGAAGTTTAGTTCTACCCTACTAAAATGAAAGTATATATATATATATATAAGACATTACTTTAGAAAATAATGTCTTCCTTGTTTTGTTTTGTAATTTTTTCATGATCTAAATAGGTACTAGTATAATAATAATAATGATGATAATAGTAATAATTATTATTAGCATTACCACATTGAATCACCATAATTGGCGTGGTCCACCACCATGTCCATGTCAAACATAGGCTTGGATTGTGATGGAGAGCCAGTATTGGTTGGGCTAGTGGGGCTATGGGCTGGGTTCCATAGTGATGCACTCTGGCGTACCCTTAGGTGCACTGCTTCAGCTTGGGTCACGGCCAATTGGGTCTGAAGCATATCAATTTGTTTCTGAAGAGAAGAGATGGCCCCTACACAGCCATACACAGGGTCTCTCACTCTTGCATTCGCTTCATACACCATGCTACTCACTGCATCCCCTCGCTGATGCTCTGGTAAGTCCTGCAAACAGTGCAATTTGCACTTTAGTAGTATTGTATTACATTCCTAACATGATTCTCTCACGTCAAGATTCCTTTGACGTGTGACACATTTATCTTGTTCTGAAATTAAATTTTTTATTAAAAAAAAAGGGTAATAAGGATTTAGCTTTAAATCACTGGGTCACTGAGACTTTGATATCGTGTCATAAACCATCTCTTCCAAAAAAATTTAAGTCATTGGGTAATAGCATCAAGATGACATAAAATATTGCATATTATAAATGAAAAAAGTGTGTATCATTTTTAAAGGATGTAAAGTTATATCATTTTAAGTGAGAGAAAGAGATAGATCATGGAGGAGAGAGAGTGGACAAAAAATAAATAAATAAAGGTATGAGTCTCACTTCTTTGTGAGAATAAAATGACACAAGTTATGTCATTTAAAATAACAAATATTTTTTTCATTATAAATATCAAGAATTAATTAAACCTAAAAACTTAATTGTTAGATGAATGCCCTATTAATAATTTTATATTATATTTTCTTATATATAATGTCAAATAATCAATCCAACTTCAAAATTTAAGTTATTGAGTGAAAATTACATTAATGATTTTATATTTTGAGAATGATATAAGTTAATTTTATTCTATGATAGATTAAATAATATTACACAGACAGCTTCACGTGGTACAGAAACAGCATGTTACTTCAAACATTTTTTTTTTTATGACAATAGAAAGTGTAGATCTTGCGTTTTTATGTTCAGTGACCTATTCTCAAACGTGATTCTCAAAATCACGTTACTTGTGAAGTTACACTTTGTGCTTGACCCTGACTTTGGGTGGCAAACCACGTTTAGAAGCTCCCATTGGGTCGCCCAATACACGATGAAGAAAGAAATACAAATCAATAAAATCTCAAACAAATAAACAAGTGTAGTGCTATACATCAACTTTTTCAAAGAATTATTATTATTATTATTATTCATTTGTCTTATTCTTTTTTTATTTTTTAATGGACCTCACATGGCAGACCGAAAGATGAGACTGACATAAGATTGAAATATGAAGAAATGGAAAAGCAAACAAATGAGATAAGGACATACGATGGGAGGTTTGAACGCGCCGAATGCCTAATCTTCTCTGCCTTTTCTGATTTTTCAATGGTCACTTGGAAAAAAAGCCATGTCGGATATGTGGCTTTTGGGTTCCTCCAACAATAGTTTAACATTTTCTCAAGAAATGTTCAAATCAAGACATAGCACCACTATGTAAATATCAAACTCATTTTGGAAAAAAAAATTATATATATATTTTCTTCTACATTATCTTTTCTCAAATGGGAGAAAATCTGGGGGAAAAAATACTACTTTTGGATAGATTTTATATCCAAATAATTTTAACATTTCCTTGAAAGTGCCACAAATTTTGTGTAGATACATCTGGTGTCTTCCATGCTTATAAAGGGTTTTCTACTTGCACAAATACCTATAAAAGTTCTATATATGTATATGTGTTTAAGGCCATGGAACTGGTGAAGGCTAGCTAGGGAAACATATCACAAACAACATGACAAAGATATGTTTTTTTAAATCATCTTGAAATTGAGATTTAAAAAAAAGAAGAAAAAAGAAGAAGCTAATGTTGAGATTTAAAAAGGAAATTAAGAATGAACCATGTTAAACCCTTTTTTTTTTTTTGGTAAATTGCCAGGAGGTATCCCCATTCAACCTTCTACCATGCCCTCTTTTGACTTATATTCTGGCCCCAAAAATTTTCCAAGAAACTGTTTGAGGCAGAGTTTGATCCCTGCACCAAGCAATCCCTTGGGAGCTCAGCTGCCAACTGAGCTACCCTTGGATTTTTTTTTTTTTTTTTTTTTTTTAAGTTAGGAGAAAATGAGTGTGGGGATGCACTTGTGGTCAAAAGCGCTTTTGCAACTGATTTTTTGTTTTTTCATCTTTCTACCAAAGATACCCGATGAACTCGTTAAGTGCCTTCAACATATACAAAAATTAACAGCCGCCTAATTGAGTTTGTGTTCTTATGAGGAGCGTTGGGGATTTACGACTAGTTTCTCGATAAAAATGTCACAGAAATATTTCTATTCAATTTTTGTGATGAAAAATCATGGGTCAAATTTAAATAATATTTAAAACATTTATTTTATGTGCGTATATAAGTTGTATTTAAAAATCTTATTTGATATAATAAGTAACACTATATTCAAAGAAACAATATATATAAGTAGTTGAAATAAACAAATATAGAAGGTTTTATTTTATAATTCATTCGGTGGTCATGTGCTTAATATATTTTTAACAAATTTTTATTTAATTTTATTCTCATCATGTACGCATCAATCTTATCACAACTGCCACCAAATTTTTATTTAATTACTCTTCATATCCATAAATTTTGTACCTATAAATATACTCAAGAATGAGAGTAAGATTTTTTATTGTTATATAATTATATTGGTGTAATCAATTTTAGAAGTTGATTTTATTTATATTTAACTTCCTTAATTATTTAGTTATGTGAATCATTAAAGGCAAACAGATCAATAATTAACAATAAATATAAGATTTTTTATTTTTACGCTGCACAAATCTTGACACACATCAATCTTATTATCACTACCACAAAATCCTTATTCTTGTTTTTTAAAATGAAAATTCTTAATTCATGGGATATGACTTAGATATTTGCCATTTTTGACGCCACAGTTCTTTAATATAATTTTTGTTAAATTCTAAATGAGTCTTACTTAATAACCTAAACTAATTATTCTCTATTTGATGATGTAAAAATTATCTGGCAAATAATAAAAATTATATTAAAAAGAATATGAAAAAATATGTTTGCTAACTAATATAAGAGGGAAAAAAGTGGCAAAAGTAAGTACCATTGATTGAACAAGACAAGTTGACTAAGTGTAGTTGCAGCCATTTGAAAGAAAATAATTAAGAGAGGAATGAGTGAAACCTGAAGCATCTTGTTGACATTGCTAGCACCAAAAACCTTGTGCACATTAGCAAACTTCTGAGGCTCATCCGCTGGGAAATAAGGAGCAAAAACACAATCCTGAGCACACCTTCTCCGAAGGAGCTTGCATGCAGCACAGGGTGAGGGTGCACCCTGTTTCCTACCACCCTCTTTCATCGATATATCCTACAATTATATATATATATATATATATATGTTTCCCTTTCAAATTATATTTCCTAATAAGACATGAGAAGGGTAGTGGAAGATGAAGAAGTATATATAGCAAGAAATTAATAAAAGTGAAGAAGACAAAGTGGGAGATAAGAGAAGGAGAGGGCGTGTGGCGGGTAATGAATGAATTGAGAGCAAGAGTGGCCTGCTCTGCTTAATATAAAAAGCAAAAAGTGAAGGGCACCACTACCACCAAAACATGATTCCATGTACATTTTATGTGGGTCCAATCTATAAAATAAACACCTTTCGTCTTCAGATTTTGATAGAAAAAAAAAATATTTCCCTTGATGTGACACCGGGTCACAAACATCTCCTATGGTTCTGTTTTTCGTTTTCTATATTTGCAACTGAACGTGCATTAGGATTTTTTGTTTTAAAAAAATATATTCAGTGTTAAGGAGGGAAAAATAATGAAACAGGTATTAAGGCGAAAATTTCTTTAAAAAAAAAAAGTAAAGATAAGACATAGAAGTAAGATAAAAGATAGAGTTAAGGTCAAAAGAAAGAATGCGGCCTGAAAAATTCAAATATTATAAATTAAATAATAAAATACGAAAAAACAATCTTTTTGAACATATTTATGAAATGTATAGCAATCAATCCATTGATGTCAAAATAGAGTGTGATTGGTCACGCCTAAAAAAGGGAGCATTAGGATGCTAAGTCGCACTCAAATTTGGAGGCGACTCACTTAGGTGATGACACGTGATATAAAATTTTTAACAATTTTTATTGTAAAATTTTGAAAGACTATAACTTTTGATTCGGGTGTTCGAATCATATGTTTTTTTTTTATTCCTTGTAACTTTTTGATGCGACCGGTCTGTCCTATTTTTGGTACAACTGGTTGCTATATGTTCGTAAATAAATTTAAAAATATTTCTTTTTCATATTTTATTATTTAATTTGTAATATTTAATTTTTTTTTTTGCCAAAGAATGTGGACGTACTATGGCCAGAAGTATCTTATTTTTTTGCAAAAGATAGAGGTGACTTTTTTTTGAATAAACTATATATATCTTTCACGGAAGAAAATTCTGTTCAGGGCAGGTCTAGGGTTAACGCTTTAAATTCATTCCAAAGATGGTAATGGGAGAATAGAATACATGTTCTAATCCTCATCTGCTTAGCTTCTATATGCCAACTGAGTTACCATCATTTGGTAGATAAAAGAGAACTTTTATTCACTGAAATTAATTAGTCAAAATAGAAAAAGACAATTAGTAAAAAGGGACAACCAAATTCTCACCCAGCACGCAAAAAGAGTGAGAGTGAATGAAAGTAATTTGAAGAAATAGGATTAGGAGTAGTATAAAAGATAAAGAAGTTGTTTCCAAAAAAAAAAAAAGAAAAGATAAAGAAGGTTAAAAAAAATGAATGGGGACTATATATGGTCAGAGTACTGTAAGTAATCTTATTTTTTTCCAAAGATGGGGAGGACTTTTAATCACCTGACGTTAGAAAAGAGAGGGAAAAAGAAACATTGAATAACGTATAGTAGTGTACGTGAATAACATTATTGAAACTAAAATGTCCTGTGAAGAGTGTGAAAGGAGAAAGAAATAGAAAGACAGGGTTGGGCAGGGAAGGTAAACTAAAGCAATACATTGAATAGTGTTTTTAACCTCTTTGCTATACCTACCAACATCAACAGAACTATATAAGTGCATGAAAATGAGGTTTTGTCCTGTAGAAAAACTTTCTCATAATTAGATGCTTAATGCCAAGGCCTTTGAGTTATGGATCCAATAATAATTTTTCAGTCAAATGAGGACTATTGGTGGTTGGTCAATGACTATGCTTCAGGGACACTATATATATAGGCTTCCACTGCCCTAAAAGGACATGCACCCAAGTCCTAATGATATTAATATATGTCCTTTTGGATCTTCAAAGAAATTAATTAATAAATAAATAGCTAACATGGAACAATGCTAAAATGCGTATAGATTTTATTTTCCCCTCTAAAAGTTTACATAGGATTTTAATAAAAATAAAAATAATTATATCAGCAGCGCTGTACATGTACGTAGGTTGTTCTAATTTAATATTTTGTATATTTTTTGTAATTGAATCTTCGAAATACGACCGAATAATCACAAACACAATTGCAAAACATAAAAGAGAGAATGAAAGAAAGAATTGAGATACAAACTTACCCAGTTTCACCAATATGAACTACATCACTATATTATTATCATCCATATTGATTACAAAGCTCTTTATTTATAAGGGAAATATAAATAGACTCAAAATTTCCAAGTAACAATTACTATATCCATATGGCCAAGCCTAAATTATTAAAAAATAAAATAAAATAAAATTGAGGTCACGCAGTACCAAGTCTCCACAATTCCAGGGGCATTGCTCCCTGCATATTCCTGTCGTGGAGGCTCTTTTGGGGCAAAACTCCCCTTGGCTTTCTCTATATCCAGCCAATAAAAAAAATCTTATGAATACGAAATATGAGCGAAACCCATCCCAACAATAAAAAAATGCAGTGCATTTTTTATGAGCATTGAGATGGACAAGTTAGCCAGTAATAATTAATAAAAGATTCATCCTGCAGGCAATCATTAAAATCCTACAAATTGAGCTTGGGTACACGAATAACAAAATAATTACTTACAACGTCAAGCTGTTGGCACGAAGTATGAACTATCAAGTGACCATAGCAAGGTCAAGTAACATGCTTCTTATTATTTAGTTGAATCCATTAAAAGAAATAAATATTTCCTCTTGTTTAGCATAGACTCTATATATACAAGATACCTTGTGAATCAAAATTTTCTTTCCAAAGAAGAGAGGATCATGTTCACATAAGGAATGAAGATGCTTTCAAGTAGTGGTCTACTTTTTCAGATAGATGAAAATCCACTAGTAATATTGCCGCATAATCGAGTATTGAGATTTAGTATGATAAATATTTGTAGTAATGTGGAAAATAGAAGTTTTCATTTCAAAAGGTTTGTTTTTGTTTGAAAAATCTCCTTATATTAACTAGGACAATAAATGAACATATATAATTTATTTTAGTTTAGATAAAAATAAATAATTCACATCAAATTAAACATACAAGAAAAAAAAAGCATGACCTAATCCTAAAAAAATTTAAGGTTTTGAAATTGTGACAATAATTTTACAAGTTACATACTAGTTTCAAGCAACCTACGTACCATAACTGTTCAAGAGTGCCGTTCAACGAATAAAATGGTTGCAGGCCATAAGAGGTGCCAAAAAGAATTCATAGGTAGGAAAATATTTTTGTTATAGAATGATCGGTAAATTCTTTATTAAATATGAAAAAAAAATTATTTATATTACTCTTATATTTATGATTATATATATATATATATATATGGAAAAAGTATTTCTCCAGTCATCGGAGATAAAGTTATCTCCAGTGAGCTCAAAACGACGTCATTTTGGGTTATAAGATTAAAAAATTATAATGCTAAAGACTAATATAACCCTGCAATATATTATAATTATAAAAACACCTTAATTTTTGTCCCAAAACAACGTTGTTTTGAGTTCACTGGAGATAAATTTATCTCCGATGACTGGAGAAATCTTTTACCCTATATATATATATATGATAAAATTATTTTTGCAGTAACTTTACGTACAACAACGACAGGTGTATGGTTATGATTCCTGACATTTAATGCTTTCATCCTTTGTATAGTTATGATTTCCTATATTTAATGCTTTCAAGTATATATATGATAAATATTTGATTGCTGCACGTACAACAATGACAGAACAACAACTTTACGTACAACAACGACAGGTGTATGGTTATGATTCCTGACATTTAATGCTTTCATCTTTTGTATAGTTATGATTTCCTATATTTAATGTTTTCAAGTATATATATGATAAATATTTGATTGCTGCACGTACAACAACGACAAAAATGTAAACTTATACGTACAACAACGACAAAAATGTAAACATATATATATATATATATATATATATATATATATAGTAAACATTTCTGCAGCCACTTTAGATAAGCTTATCTACAACTACCCTTTATAACTATGTTCTCCCGGGAGAACATAGTTATAACATTAAAAGTTGATTTTTTTTTTCTCTCCTTATTTACTTTTCAGAACCAGTCTGCTGATGTGGAGAGAGAGAAAAAAAATAACTTTAATGTTATAACTATGTTCTCCCGGGAGAACATAGTTATAAATGAAAAGCTGTAAATAAGCTTATCTTAAGTGGCTGCAGAAATATATTTTCCTATATATATATATATATTTGGTAAGAGAATTAATATTCCGGTTGTAAAAAAAATTTACTCCGTAGGTAGGCAGTTAGGTAGGGCAATGATATCCAATTTTTCTTTTCTCAAAAATCAAACAATAACAAACCCGCCGTCTAGGACAACATAATTAGGTGTACTTTTATGGTCATGGCTGTGGAAGCATTTGAACATGGACGTGCCGCAGCCCTTGGTTATATAAGACCCTTAAGTGGGTGTTCCATGGTCAAAGTAAAAGTCATACAACTTACAAGACAGTTAAAACTATTATTCTCTTTGCGTTAGTTGGTTGGTTACTTTGAAATTTGTGATTTGACAAAAACGAAGCAACCCACTAAGATTTCAAACTTGGAAAGACAATGGCACATCTAATTCGATGCAAAGGGGACCCATTTCCAAAATACCTTCCTCTATGCCAAAAGCTTTCATATCTCCTTTAATTTCGTCCACAAAAACACACACACACAATAATGTACATAGCACTATCCTCACATAGAATTTTAAAAACAAATATATGGCAATGAATGGGCTGCAAAATTTTCCTCGAGTTAAGAAAACCTCAATTATATAATATTTGTTCCGTATTTTGTGGTCATCAAATACTAAAAGGAACGCTCGGCTACTAGTTACCCTCAATACCTAGTGTGGACTGTGGACCTATCTC